ATATGATATCGCCCTCATGTTGAAGAACATTCCTTAAATTTGACCGCGAAATTCCTTACAATTCTCGTAGTCTGGTTCAGTTTCTGTTTTGCCCCCCGCAAACCCAACTCCTTTGTCTCGTTGTGTGAACACCTACCTTCCTTTAGACTTCAACGAGTTTGTTTTACCAAGGTAGTGAAAACACTAGCGAAATACATTCATCTGCAAACTAATTTGGTTTTGCGAGAGACTCGCCTGGAACTCAGCTGAATCTCTCGTTTGTGATAATTCCAGGCAACTGAATGTGCTGCAGTAGGCCGCCTCATGTTTCAGTTGCTACGATATTCGAGATATTGCGCGACATGTATATTCGCACTGCACTACTCGTAAGGTTGCTGAAGACACTAGTTTCGCAGTCTAATGTGACTTTTCGTGCAGCTTTGTGAAACGGATTTCCCAAAGAACAGTGAATGGATGAACCCGTCCTATTCTGTGTAGCATGTGTGCCTTAAGCATTTTGGTATTCAATTACCCTATCATGTGATACGCGTGATCCTGACTTTTTGCGCGTGTAGAACAATCGATGTAGCTTGCATCAGAGGAGACCAGCTGACAGGATTTTAAAGCTTGGAACCTCTGTGTGTATTATCGAAAAACACTCGTTTGCAAACAAATTCGGTTTTTTGAGAGACTGAATCTATCGTTTATGGTGTTTCCAAGAGTTTTCAGCCACTTTATGAGTAGTGTGTTACATCTCTGTGCATCTCCAGTTGTAAAGAGCGATCTGATCTTGTTACTGCGTTCTGAGAACTACTTGCACTAAGTCTCCAATGTTCGAATGGGTGGGTTAGGCTTGGAACACTCATTACATTTGTACTTTGATACCTTTTCTAGTCTCAGCAATTCGTATGCCAGAAAGACAGTCTGGAGCAGTGGGGAACAACTGCACTCGGGAATTCCCACTTGACGATTTGCGCACTTACTCATACGCATTGAGACCAGTGTAACGAAAATTTTCAATGCCATTCAGCCGCTGACCAACGAAGTCCAACTAAACCACTATATACTGCTCTCACGCTTGAAAAAACCTTCCTGAAGACATGTTCGTCAGCTCATCTTTGTTTTGAGTCCAAAACGAGTCACAAGCATATTATCGGTCTTTAGGAGAGTCTAGAACAAGTACAACTCACCAAACTTCCGTAGGTCTTTTTATCTCTCAGTTGGTCATCCAAAACTACTTACAATCCACGATTTAAGCGTTTCTCTTGGTGGGGACCAAGAGATGCATCGACAACTCCTAAAGCTGATCAACAAATGGCGGCCAGACGTAACCAGTGACTCTCTTATTGCTAATGTCTGTGCAGCTTGTACCTATGTTGTATGAATGGGTGTTGGAGCTGTATTCATGTCGGATTTTCATGTTGACTAGCACTAAACTCCACTCCTCTTTAGTGGTGATATTCTTCACAAATCATCGCAATCACCTACTAAGACTTGGTTGTATGACAGTGGAACACTGGTGTTGCTGTCAGTGATGGTAGCTTTGACAAGCACCACTCAACCGATGGCGTCAGTGCATCCGTTCTATCGCCTGTTCCCAACTAAAACACTTCTAAACACAGTTTAAACACTACTAGGTTTGGAATTCACAAAAACCTCCAATACCAAGCTGTCCTTGTTATCAATGGATAAATTATTGTGGCGGAAACAAAAAGGTGGAACTGGTGCAATCGCAAACTAGCCACTTCAGTTAGTCAGTTATCTGGTTTGATATTGGGTCGAGTAAAGCAGTCTGGATGTCCCCGAAAGTTAGCCATACCTGCTATGTGAATCTCACATGCTGGATGAAATTAGTCTGACGATCTTGGAGCAAAACAAGCAGTTTTGCCGGATGGTTTCAAGCGAATTGGTATACACAGAACATGTGAACGTTTATTCCTCCTTCCAGTGGCTTAGACTTTATCCAGATTTGCTAGAAAGAGCCCTTCACCTTGGCGTAGCTTCAGTTAGGGGTAAAACCGCGCCGATGCTGCAGAATACAATCAACGAATTTATTGTCCCGGTACTTTGAAGCGCAACTTTTCATGATCAAATCGATTTCGAGCTCTCAATCTTTCGGTAACTGCTAACAGTACAGGACAAAAGGAACTATGATCACTTGAAGGCAAGTTAGGAATACGGAAGTCAGAGTTTGGCATCTGTTGGTATTGCCGGACTTCACAAATCAACGCCGACGCTATACCAGTTAGTGGTCAGCGAATTACGGACGTTGTTAGTAGGCTGTGCGAAGTCGAAGAGTCTAGTCTAGTCTAGTCGTTCAGCTTTAGCACCCTTTCAGTGCCTAGCTGCCATGCTACCCGAAGGAAGCACGAGGGCTGCGATACTTCTAGGTTGCCTAGACAGCTTAGACAGGGGAAGTTGAGATGCTGAGGTCGGGTTCGAACCATGGACCTTCCGGCCAGTAAATTCGCGCTCTAACCACTCGACCCCGAGAGAGTATTCATCGTTGGCAGGACTAAGCAGAAATCATTCACTCCAGAAGGATGGACGCTGTTGCACAGTGTTTATCTTTGAATTGAATTGTAATTAACATTACATTGACGTCTTTTCTCTCATTTTGCAAAGAAAAGAGTGTAGCTGGGACGAGCTGCTTCAACTAGTCATTCGTGGATCCTTTTTGTAACTCGAACAGGCAACAACATATAAATGAGTGTATTATTGTCAGCAATTTGGTTCCAACTAATGTCAATGAAGCGTTCTCAACTTGGTAGTAAAATGTATGCTTTCAGGTTGACACGAAATTGTACGCTCTGCAAACTCATTCTATGTGAAGGCTGTCTGAAGTATCGAGTCACGTCGGCCCATCAGTTCATCAGTCATCTACAGACGTCTTTGAAGCACACTAGGATATTCGTGGAGCAGGCTTTTGCGTTTTCGGTGTGCCAATCAGAATTGCTTGCAGTCTCAACATTTGCATCCAATGTTTTATCATCTACGTCTTCCTACACCTCTTTGTCTTTTGGGATTACAGCAGGAGCTCCTTCGATTCCCAAAACTACATGAGCGTATTGTGGACGTGGTCACGTCTGTGTTACGCCATCGCCTCCAACCGACCAATCAAATGGTGACCAATCTGGTTTCCATTGAACTGGCCTATGTGAATACAAGGCATCCAGACTTCTCCGAGGTGCTTAGTTTACATAGGCAACAGGCGCCCGGATTGGACAACCTGGTAAGTATTTGAAGTTGCCCTGGTACCGTGTTTGGAGTTTGCCTCAGCCCTGGTCACTAAGCGACCATCATTTCGTCAAACCTCACTTGGCACTTTTTGTTTCTTGTCGGTATTCTCAGCAGTAGTGATTCTTTGCGTGTGAGAGGAAGTTCAAGTAATCTCGGCAATCGATTTGTGGCTTCAGGAGTGTTACGGTTTCAATCACGCAGCGATTAACGATATGCTTTCCCCAGCTATGTTGTCCGATCCCTAGTACAGCAGAATACTAAGAAGACGGAGCCTTGGACACAAGTGTGATCACCGAACAACAAGCGATTAACAGGCAATAGCGGAAAAATCATAAAGCATATATACACATATCCATGGTTTGACCTTGAAAATGCAGGAAGTTCATTAGCAGACGGAGTTTCAGGGGATATGTATACCTCGGGACAAATTTTCACTGGTCGCAATTTTTTCAGACGCAAGGTGCATTACATACTAGAGACACTACTAATATCAGGACTTTCAACTGCCAACTGGTAGTGATTGGCTCAAGACGAGTTTTCTAAGGTCTAGATATGCATTTTCCCGTGATATCCGCCCCATTCTGAATGTCATAATAATGACTTGATTGGAAACGTATTTTTATCACATTTATTTGCCTCAGCAAACTTTTGATCTCATTTATTTATATTTTGGCGAATACCCAACATCGCCGGTTTTATTCTGTTCGTCTTAACTTATGGTATGATTCGTCAAACCTAATTAAGTACGGCTCTTTTCTCGAAAACAATGGTATTATTTAGCCAAAGGTCTTTGTAAATTGTTCGTAGTATGCCGAAATACTGGTGCCGCGGGTGAGTTTATTGGTTGTTGACCAGGTGGCTGTTGAGCTGTTCGCCGAGCTTGGCAATTGACTTGCAAACGTTTCGTCACCGTACGAGGAGACAATTAGTTGGGTGCATCCTTTTTGCCTGCGTGCGTCTATAAAGCATCTGAAGGCTATCTATGATCTCTTAACGTGATTGACTAGTTGAGTGACAGCGTTTTTCGCGAATTTATTGGTTCTTTCGTGATTTTTGTTGCATTGTAGTTTGCGTTCCTTCGAGTCAATTGGTTATCTGGATGCCTTCTATTTTTGGTAGTTTGCTCCCCCATTTCGATTCCCGTCTTCTCGATCCGCATTGCGTTGGTCTGATGTTTTCTTCGGTAGTGATTGGCTGGCTGCACCGTCTGCCTTCTCCATTGTATTGACCGGCCTCCTTTCGCCTGCCGATTGATTTAGTACATTGGTTTATTCACTGGGTGCCCCCTCTAACCCAATTGATGTGTCCGTTTGGATCGGACCGCCCTGTTTCTTTTTACAAGTTCCTCTTCCGGTTGCTTGTGCACTATGTGGTTCTTGCGTTCTCTTGCTTTTAGCAGTTGATAAGTAGGGTCAATTTCCGTATGGTTGTTGATAGCTTCTTCGGTGGAGTACCACGTTTCACTAAATTCCCCTTCTTTCTTCGTTATCACTTGAGCCAGTATGCGAACGCTTTCCAGTCGAACTCGTGTTCTTCCTGATCTTTGTGCACGGAGATGAGAGAAAATTGATCGAGCCTTTTTGTAGCGAGCTTATGTTCATGTATTCTGATGGAGACTGTCCTTCCGGCTTGTCCTATATATAGTTTATCGCAGTCCCTGCATGGGATCCTTTATGTGACATTGTTCTTCATCCTTGGATCTAAGTTTCCTTTTGGGTTCGATAGTGTCCTCCGCAAAGTGTTCGCAGGGGGCGAGATTGCTCAGTGGTTAGAGCGCAAACTTACTGAATCGAATGCGACCTCTGCCTCTCGACTTCCCCTGTATAGGCTTGGTCAACTTGGCAGTATCCCAGCCATCGCGCTTCCTTCTGGTGGCCTGGCGGTTACGCACCGAAAGGGTGCTACAGCTGAACGAAAGTGTTCGCGAGTTTGTAAACCAACCGTCATGTTTTGCTGTCGTAACTTGGCTGAATCGTTCAGTTAACCCGCTTTCTAACAACCGTAAAGTAAGACCAATTCTCCTTTTGTGAAGAAATGTGTTCTCTGCTATAGAGACTAGCCCCAGACAAAAGCCTAGCGTAACGTCCCCTGAAGATCTTCCTTAAAGGGAAGATGACCGGTTTCTGGTAAACAGTTATTACAGGTCCCGACAATTCAACGGCATTCGTCGCTACTTATGAACAGTAGGTGATGCGTTTGAATTGTGGTAGCACACCAACGGGACTTTCTGAATGTTTGCGGCCGACACCTTATGCCTCGATGTAACGGCCGTTATCGGTGCTATTGTTCACAGAACAAAGCGCCTGACCGGAAACTTTCATGTAAGCCCTGACTACACCACGGAATATCGTGTCTGAAGAGCGCATTAATTCGACTTGCTTGTTGAATAAACAAGTACTTCAAACGGGTGATTGGAAGAGGTTTCTGAGGGTGCTAGAAAGAAAGAAAGCGTTCAGCTGTAGCACCCTTTCGGTGCCTAGCTGCCATGCCACCCGCAGGAAGCACGAGGGCTGGGATACTGCCAGGTTGCCCGAGCCTAGACAGGGGAAGTCGAGTGGCGGAGGTCGGATTCGAACCATGGACCTTCCGGTCAGTAAATTCGCGCCCTAACCACTTGGCCCATCTCGTCACCTTCTGAGGGTGATAGCGCATGTTGTGCTCAGATGCTGGTTTAAAAAGTGAAGGTAAGGTCATAGGAAGGTCATTACGTCTTGCGAACGTTTTTTTTCGGCTAGGGCATTGCATTTTGGGGTGTGTAACGTAGTTCTGAATTTCTGATACCATGTGCCCCTTGTCAGACCGCATAATTTGCTGTTAGGTTAACTTTTTGGGTTACGTGTATTGCCCCATATTACTGCACGGATCGGAAACCTGGCCGAGGACGTCAAAAGACTTTCAGTGTTTCACCATCAATGTCTTCGGAACATTGCCCGAATCTGGTGGGAACACCGGATCAGCAATGCTGAAGTTCGCCGAATGGCATTGGGGAGAAATAACACCCTCGATAGATGAACTGATCACACTGCATAGGTTGCGCTGGCTTGGCCACGTGCTGCATATGTCAGTTTACCGACTTCCTCGAAGGGCTCTTTTCGCGCAACCACGTGAAGGGTGGAAGAGAGCCGGAGGCGGTCAAACAATGACTTGGCAGTGAAGTATAAAAGCCATTACCAGAAAACTCAGCTGCGCTTGTCATTGCCGTCTTCCTGGATGGGGACCCCGAGACGGGTCACATCAGTGGCTAGAGACATTGTCAGACATGGCCCAGTCGCATCCTCAATAGGGCACATGCATCCCAGCTATTGCCTTCAATGCATAGCTCCCTTCTAAATCCCTCCAGTTAACAGTCCATATACAGTGCTGTATTTACGCACTAATTTATCAGGTCCCGCCTCCAATGCACAGCTACCTACCCCGCTCTCCAAATCACCGGTGAACGAAAGGGTGGCAGTTAAAACCAGTGTACGACAAGTACGCGGTTATTACAGCTGACAGTGATGATGATGAACTCATTGGATCATCTGGTATTGAATGTCCATGAAGCCCAAGATGATGAGGTGAGCTCTAAGTGTCAGATAGTTTTCGGTCTCAATAGTTTTCTGTTTTTTTTCTCACCAAAGTTGATATCCTATGAGCTTTGAAGAAAGACGGTATTCAGCGGCTGTAACCATACGAAACGTGGGTCTGTCTTCAAGTGATTCACTTCACTGTTGGTTGTACGAACTGAAACACTTCTAACCTGATGTTTACAAGTCCGCAGGTACCAAAACAGATGAATTTTTATAGGGCTAAAACGGTTAGTTTACTGAAAATCCATACACTTTTTCTAGGCCATTGGAGACTCCAACCCATTTTCTGGACCACTAAACCCTTCAGCACCTACCCCACGTCGACCAGTTGGAGCTAATCCTCAAGCGGATCTTAGCGCACTGTCCTCTCTCAACGGACCGCTTAGTGCGGATACGCGGATGAGTTCGCCATCACGTGACGCATCGGGAGATGTCCAGAAGGGTTTGGTACTTACCCCAGATATTGTGAGTTCCTTCCATCAGTCTGTTCTATCTGATGCATTTCACCCCTCGTATTCCCTTCCTTAGGGCTTGGTTTTGTAATAGATGTTTTTCTTGACGCGTTTCCAAGGCGTGATACTCGGGCCTGGGTCATTGGTCTACTTATCACACACACAACTGGATTCGGCTAGTTGGCTTTTGATGATGATATGAGAAGATTTGTTAATATTCGTCCCGTCACCGGAACCAGTCTATCCTGAAAAGCCGAGAGGCACTGTCCAACTGTCTCATCCTTGTTCGGGATCAATAGGAATTTGGATCTCACGAAACTTATAGCTTCCAACCCGCGACCGTCCGGTCAGTGGTTAACTACTTGACTAGCTAAGAGCGACTGACTAGGCAGGTCGAAGCGACAATCCTTCTTAGTTTTTCTTCTCTTGATTTAGCGGTCAACTACATTCTGATATTTTCCAGGATTCATGTGGTTCCGCACGCCGCTCAATGAAGGCCATCTTGTTTTACCTAATGTACATTGATAAAATTCAATGTGCGGCGCAATTGTGTATGTAGATTCCATCTCCCATAGTCTTGACGCCCACCTTGTGTTTGTCCAAAAACTGTAGATGTTTGCTGTTATCACTGACTTCGGCTAATCGCAGTGAAAGTATGTCGACGAAACTCACAGGTGGTCTACTTCTGTTGAAGGGACAACGATACTTTGTTTAGTTTAACCTAGTTCAACACATGATCAGCGCATTTCGTGAAAATACTACGCTTAGCCAACAGCGTACGTAGTGGTTCTCGAGGAGGTCTGGTTCCTGTGGGCGGTGGTCTTCTACTCAGTGTGGGCTACCGAGGACGCTACTGATAAGATATAAGTTAAATAAACTAAATTGAAGTGTGTAGCCCAGGTTTCGTTAACCAGAACCATTGTGCTCCTGCACTGGAAGAAAGTGCTAATGTATTCGACGGGAAAGTTCGGTGGGGTGCGTCAGCGTTGACTTTCGATGGAAAGGCGGCGAATGAGTAGCGCTAGACGACCCTCGTCTTGTTGTCTTATTAGTTTCCGTTTGTTGCACCATCGGGATACTAGTACTTCTGTTGTATTCCGAAAAACTCCTTACTTCTTCCCATGCTCGCTTGGAATCCGTTCGCCATCACCAAATATCGGTCACCTGAAAATGAAATCATAACCCTTCGACATCTTTAAGATCGTGAAAGTCGGTGAGGAAAGTCAGTCTGTACGCCAGAACTGAAGTTCCTCCGTACCTTCTCGGATCGGTTGCACTTGTTCCCTCGAAATCACTGACTGGCCGATCCTTACCCTGAATTTTGAGATTAGAATTACTTGGGACCATTTAACGACCCAGTGTTACGAACGGAAGACTAAGGAATCCAAGATCAGCATTCCTAGGGACCGAGAAAAAATTAGGTACACGTAAGCGATTAGATAGCTGATTCACAGTGAGCTTTGTAGATATCGCAGTGGTCAAAGCGAGAGGGCTACGGGCTAAGAGGTCCCGACTCGACTCGACTTTTCCGTCGGTCCCTTCTACGATTGGGCAGTGTGACATTACCTCAGCTCTCAAGCTTCCCTACGGTTGTATTACAGCTATTCATTGGGAGGATGCCATAACTGAATGGTTTTAATGATCTTCATGAGTTGAAACGCTTTGGATGCAGTTGTTTGCATCTTTCTTTATTAAGGTTGTTCGTTCTTTCATTGCCGTCACGAAGAGACTGAACCTTACAGTGATGTGACGGTTTGCGCACCTCAGCGATCCATTGAGCTATACTGGAGAGTGTCCCGCGACACTCACAGAGTCTCTTATACCCGGTTGGTCAATAGTTAGAGGTTCGACGGACACAGTCTCCTGGCCCTCCAGATTGGGGGTCAGAACATGTGGCGACTTGTTCCGTAAAAAATGGTAATGCACTTGCATTTCCCGCCAAACNCTGCCTTGCGGTTAGGCTTTTGAGCCAAAGGCTTTGGTTGAGGACCCTAATCGTCTTCCTGTTTAGGTGTTGGCGCCCTGGCAGTATCCCAGCCCTCGTACAACCATGACATTTATACGGCAGTGAAGCATCGGTGTTGAACACTGATGTCATGCTGTTGATGAGATGATGCTTTCATTGTATTGTATCCCTTTTGTAGCAAACCGAAGTTCAGCAGCACAAACTAACCCCGAACGAGCGCCATGACTGTGAAATAATTGGTAAGTCTTTCTTGTGTCTCAATTATTTTACCGAATTCATTAGTTTGCAAATAAGACGCTTGCAAATTTTTCGTAGAGAATCTTTAAACAGCATTCGAAGGAGACAAAAGTATACTACTCACAAAGTTGCTGAAAACTCTTCGAAGAGTTCCCTCTATGAAACCATACTGCAATATCTCGAATATCGTGCCAACTGAAACATGAAGCGGTTGAAGAATATCATAAACGAGAAACCCAGTTGAGTCTCTCGTGAAAACCAAATTGATTTGCAAATGAGTGTATTTCTCGGAGCTGTGGGTTCCCGGTCCATAGGGTGCTGGCAACGGTACGGATAGATCAAGTGATATTGCCTAGCGTTTCAACCCATGCTGGTAGTGTATGTAAAAAAAGCCAATTTCCTATGATGTATTAGCTGTGCTACCGGCCGTTTTTCGTTATAGGGTCTTACAAACCTTTCGTTTATTATCTTCCAAGAACTATATTCTGTGTTGCCAAGTGTCTCGTTTCTGCTTCGCTTCTTTCGAGCAGGAATCTCGTTGATATATCCCATCTGAGACAGTTAGACCAGCTATACCTATTCAGCGTTCAGAGGTCTTGTAACACGAGCACAGCGGGGCCCGGACATCTTATCGTAAAGAACGACCCCCACGGGTAAATGAGGTTCTGACTCAAGTATGTTAGTGTTTCGGACCAAACCGCGCAATGTTTACACTCTTGATTGCGCCCGATACTTATTTGAGGTGCGGGAAGTAATCCATCTGGATATTATGTACTAGCGAGGCTGTACCGCCGGTTTCGTCGCATCACGCGATCAGTGTTGAGGTCAATTTGCGACTTTCAACTTTGAGGTACAAAGGGTCTTTCAGGTCGATTCCAGTAATCCTTTCGACGAGGAATAACCCCAGAACGAATTTCGAGCGCGCTGTTCTTTGCGTCTGAAATGAACCGGCCAATTCGGACGCCTTTCCATCCGTTGTTGCAATGCTGACTCCGTTTTTCGCTCCGTTTTAACATAGTTACTGTTAGTCTCTTTCGATAAACGGCACCCACTAGCAGATTTAGTCATGATTTGGCGTGGCTAACCATTGCGTTAAGTCATCTCTTAGCTATGTTGGTCAAAGCGAACTTGGCTCTTCCCTGAGCCTCCATTCCGGTCATGTTTTCTCTTCTGTGGTGAACTTTTCGTCATATGACAGTTTCCCTCCCCCATAGAGACCACCCGTGAAAACTCGTCACTGTGGTCTTCCCAGAGTAGATCCGTATTCAGGCAGTGGACGGTATCTCTCTCTTATGTATCAGGCTTAAGTCAGATATGATTCCTTTGAATAAGTATACTGTTCGAGAAATATACTCATTTGCAAATCAATTTGGTTTTCACGAGAGACTCAACTGAATCTCTCGTTTATGATATTCTACAACTGAATGTGCTGCACACAGGCCGCCTCATGTTTCAGTTG